AATGCGGGATTAAAAAAAATCTAATATAGATGTATATGCCTGTGTACACACATATATATATTAGAAGTAATTCATAACAAGTCAAAAATGTGAACAGTATGTTGATACCCAGATCTTGTTCCCTGTTTCGCTTATATAAAATGAACTACTATTCCAAGATTACAAACTAGGTTGCCTCCATTCTGTTTCTCTGGCTTTAATTTTTGTTTCCTCACTGAAGAATGTTTCAGTTGACTCCATTTTGTTCTATAATTTTCAGTCCCTTGCTTTAGTCCATTACAATCTTTTTGAATTTTGTTTTTCTCTTCTAGATTATTAGCTGTTCTGCTAGTTGTGTGTCATCTGATAAGCTTGCATCTAAAATATTAATAGCAAAGTTGAAGAATGCTGACTGTTGTATCACCCCAGTTGATACTTTATTTGAGTTTGATCAGGAATGTTTGAATTGGTCAAATGTTTGCTGAAATCAACGTATTTTGTGATTATAACATTCACACAAACTGCTAAGCAAATTGCTGTTTAAAATGCGTTTAAGATGATCATAATCTGATAATACCTGTTCTTGAACAATTATGGCATTTTTGCTAGTTGAACTATTTTAAGGTTTTATATCTTTCAGTATATCAATGTCAGAGTGACAGGTTTGTACTTCCCTTGTTCCTCTTTTTTGCTCATTTGACTGATAGGGATATTTGCTCCCAGGGGATTCTCAGAAACAATACATAAACATTTGGTTACTTTGTATTTCTGGAATGCAGTTCATTTGATCCAGAAGTTCTAAATTCATTCAAAGTAAATAAACATTTCTATCAGTCTTGGACTTGTATCCTGCTGCTTTATTCTGATTTCACAACTGCTAAGTGAAATATTTAGCCATCTTCTCAGAAAAATCTGAGCTAAAGTATGGTTAGTACTAGGTTTTCTTTGTATCCAAGCAGTTGGTATAGTGATTTTTTTCCTCTTCCTTTTATTTTTAGCATATGCAAAATCTGGTTTGTTTTTCTTAGCATTCATTATCAAACTCAATTCATCCTGAGCATATTTTAAACTACGTGTGTATGTGTGTGTGTGTGTGTCCTTGTTGATTTAATCCTCTTTCCATCTCCTATATCAATATCTGTATATTTCCTTTTCACTTATTTACTTTCTTTTTCTATTGAGTACAAAAAGCTGTGTGCTGAAATAATATATCTAAGCCGACATTTAATGAAAACTTAAATTACATGGACACACTGATCTGTAAATTTAGACTTGCATGCCCCAAGAAGTAATTTTTTTTTTAGTTTATATAGTTGCACAAACAAAATATGAAATAAGTAGTGATGATTGTGTGTCAGCTAATATAGCCTAACTTAAATTGTAAGTTCCTGGCTTAATCATATATACCGAATATGCAAGACTATTGTCAGATAAAATTTTGATTTAATATAATTTTGATATAAAACTATACTGCAGTATAGATGTCTACTAGTATGTCAACCAATGACAATATTTAACAAAATTTGAGGCATTGGTATTTTGCCATAACTGAAGAGAATACATCTGTGCCATGGGAGTTAATAATACTGTCAAATGCAAAGGATAATGCCTATGTTATGTCAGCCCATTTTCTTTCATATGACAGTCATGCTTCTTGTGCATTAGTAACCAAAAATACACATTTAATATGGAAATTAGAATAGAATAGAATAGAATAGAATAGAATAGAATAGGGCTGGAAGGGACCTTGGAGGTCTTCCAGTCCAGCCCCCTGCTCAAGCAGGAGAACTTATATCATCTCAGACAGGTGGATGTCCAGGCTCCTCTTAAAAATCTCCAGTGATGGAGCGCCCACGATTTCTGGGATTTGAAACAAGTGTTCCATTTGGGAAACNATATATATATATATATATATATATATATATATATATATATATATATATATATATATATATATATATATATATATATATATATATATATATATATATATATATATATATATATATATATATATATATATATATATATATATATATATATATATATATATATATATATATATATATATATATATATATATATATATATTAGAAGTAATTCATAACAAGTCAAAAATGTGAATAGTATGTCGATACCCAGATCTTGTTCCCTGTTTCGCTTATATAAAATGAGCTACTATTCCAAGATTACAAACTAGGTTGCCTCCATTCTGTTTCTCTGGCTTTAATTTTTGTTTCCTCACTGAAGAATGTTTCAGTTGCCTCCATTTTGTTCTACAATTTTCAGTCCCTTGCTTTAGTCCATTACAATCTTTTTGAATTTTGTTTTTCTCTTCTAGATTATTAGCTGTTCTGCTAGTTGTGTGTCATCTGATAAGCTTGCATCTAAAATTTTAATAGCAAAGTTGAAGAATGCTGACTGTTGTATCACCCCAGTTGATACCTTATTTGAGTTTGATCAGGAATGTTTGAATTGGTCAAATGTTTGCTGAACATTGTGATTATAACATTGCACACAAACTGCCAAGTAAATTGCTGTTTAAAATGCATTTAAGATGATCATAATCTGATAATACCGGTTCTTGAACAATTATGGTATTTTTGCTAGTTGAACTATTTTAAGGTTTTATATCTTTCAATATATCAATGTCAGAGTGACAGGTTTGTACTTCCCTTGTTCCTCTTTTTTCCTCATTTGACTGATAGGGATATTTTCTCCCAGGGGATTCTCAGAAACAATACATAAACATTTGGTTACTTTGTATTTCTGGAATGCAGTTCATTTGATCCAGAAGTTCTAAATTCATTCAAAGTAAATAAACATTTCTATCAGTCTTGGACTTGTATCCTGCTGCTTTATTCTGATTTCACAACTGCTAAGTGAAATATTTAGCCATCTTCTCAGAAAAATCTGAGCTAAAGTATGGTTAGTACTAGGTTTTCTTTGTATCCAAGCAGTTGGTATAGTGATTTTTTTCCTCTTCCTTTTATTTTTAGCATATGCAAAATCTGGTTTGTTTTTCTTAGCATTCATTATCAAACTCAATTCATTCTGAGCATATTTTAAACTACGTGTGTATGTGTGTGTGTGTGTGTCCTTGTTGATTTAATCCTCTTTCCATCTCCTATATCAATATCTGTATATTTCCTTTTCACTTATTTACTTTCTTTTTCTATTGAGTACAAAAAGCTGTGTGCTGAAATAATATATCTAAGCTGACATTTAATGAAAACTTAAATTACATGGACACACTGATCTGTAAATTTAGACTTGCATGCCCCAAGAAGTAATTTTTTTTTTAGTTTATATAGTTGCACAAACAAAATATGAAATAAGTAGTGATGATTGTGTGTCAGCTAATATAGCCTAACTTAAATTGTAAGTTCCTGGCTTAATCATATATACCGAATATGCAAGACTATTGTCAGATAAAATTTTGATTTAATATAATTTTGATATAAAACTATACTGCAGTATAGATGTCTACTAGTATGTCAACCAATGACAATATTTAACAAAATTTGAGGCGTTGGTATTTTGCCATAACTGAAGAGAATACTATCTGTGCCATGGGAGTTAATAATACTGTCAGATGCAAAGGATAATGCCTATGTTATGACAGCCCATTTTCTTTCATATGACAGTCATGCTTCTTGTGCATTAGTAACCAAAAATACACATTTAATATGGAAATTAGAATAGAAATCTTATCTTATCTTATCTTATCTTATCTTATCTTATCCCGACCTTCCCTGGAACCTCCAGAAGGTCAGGTCGGGGGACGAGTTCGTCCTCTTGAATATAGTAGAGTCTGTCCACCTACAGGTCCGAGGAGAATTTTTAGAGGTCACTACCTCGCGGGTGCTAAAGACCCTAAACTTTGTTCACAAGGTAAACCCTTTGCATACAGCCATCTAGTGACCATGACTTTTGAAATAATTCTTTCAAAACTAACTATATACATGGTAAGATAAAAATGGGATCAGCTTGCTGTTTCATGTATATAAGCTTTCTAAGAGGAATTTCTTTTATATGCGTGCAGTTATCTCATTTTTGTGATTGATTTATTATAGAAGGTCGTGTCCCTAAAAAGAGAAAATGTCTTCATAACATACGCTGAAATAATTTACAGACACACACACACAGAGACACACATAGGTAAAAGGCTCATCATATGCAGAATTAACAGTTTTACTCCCTGTGATAAATGCTCCTTTGTCCAGGTTTCCATCCAAAGTTTGGTATATCTTGACAAACCTTGGAGAAAGCATAGAATATTTCACAGTTGCATTGAACATTGGAGGCACTTGACATAGTCTTCTTATGAAAGGATTTGAATCTGCTTCTGAGATACTTGGAAAACCCACAAGGATCAAAAGCATCTCCCTGCCTTTCTTCTGCTTAGAGATCTAAAGACCGATTGGGGTTTGCTCTGTATTTTGCTTCTATAGTCTTGAGTATCTTTCAGATTTGAAGTATTACCAAGAAAAATCCTTCTTCTTGTTTGAAAGCCATGAGTCCTTTGACTTGCATTTTTCAGACCTAGCAATGCTTTCTGAAATTGCCTTGTGAAGTCAGAAGTGTATTTCTGGTTTCAAGAGAAGGAGATTTGCTTATGAATGTCTTATAGATCCTGTATGCATAATTTTAGAAATTGAAGTTTATTTTATTTATATATATAATACACATACACACACATACACACATACATACATATGGGAACACTATTGAAACTGGGATAGACATAAATTTAGCAATGCAAGGAGAAGAATAGTAAATAATATCTTACGAATCACTCTGAAATATAGAAAAGCAATCATTTTCTATTTTAGATGTGTTAACTAAATTATATTACTTGTGTATTTGTGTAAAAGAATCCTAAGTTACAATATTCTGTACTCTTGAGGATCAGTCACTGCTCAACCATTAAAGTTTAAACTTCTAATATTAATCTCTCTTACTGTGATTTGGTTAATTGTCATATTTTCATCTACATGTGTTCTAATTGCCTTTTGAAGTTTAAACTATGGAGGAGGACATTCATCACACTCAGAAGCGGATCTTCTTAGACAAACATATACAGCTTCTCAGCAGTTTCCTGTGTACACTACCACACCCCATCCTTCTGGTAATAATAATTTATGAAATAGATGCCTTTCTTTTAAAATAGTTTAGAGGTGACAAATAATAAAATACATTTCAGTAAAAATATTGAGATATATGTTGATATACCTGTTATACCTGTTAAAAAGTTTGGGAGGAAGAAATTTCTCTGACCGCATTTTCTTTCCTGGAGCTCTAAGCATGAGGATTTAGAGAAGAGTGGAATTGGTGAAAATTGCCCATTCCTTCCCTCCCTTCATCCTTCAGTTAATAGTGCACTAAATATAACATAAAATCAAGGTTTCTGTAGATACTTTCTAATATTATTGTATATTTACTCTGTTTATTACTTTCAGCAGCTTTTATGGTTAATTAAGTAAACTGTTAGAATATTGTAATAGAACTTTTTGGCCGTTACCAAAACTCAACTGTTGTGATTGAACTTTTTGATTAGACGTTTAAGTACTGAGGTATATCTAGGATAAAGCTTATATGTGATATACTTTTTCTTATAGGTCTTCCTGGAATTTTTGATAATACTACACACAGTGACAATAGCAACACTAAAGAAACATCAGTTATGAATTTTCTCTCTGCAATCGAATCTCGCAATACTCAGACTGTTTCTTCGGGAACAACTCTTTTACCACAATTTAGGACTCCCACGTGGCAACCAGGTGACATTTTCCTAATATTTTGGTAATTGTACCAACATATTTCTGTGTAAAAATTATTAAAGAGTATAACATTGGCTTAGATCTAGAGCCCTTCGTCTCTGAATAGGAAGCTTCTACTATCCAGGGAAAACTTTTACATCACTGGATTGGGGATCATTGTTTATATCTATTTTTTCTTCATAGAAATATGATCTGTATAGGCTTGGAGGATTATTCTAGAGAGAAGATAGCTAACTGCTACCATGGAGAAAATTTGTGATTCTGATAGTGGAAACAAATGAAGAAATTGCAAAACTGACAATGCTGTGGGAATATATTTAGCATAATTCTACTTGTGAATACTGATGTTGACATAATAAAATGTGAAGCAAAAAAATAGTTTTCAATGGGATGGGAAAGATTCATATCTCTTATAAAATAACCTTGAATAGCTGAAACTGTCAAGATAGAAACCAGTGCAACTAACGCTGGTGTGAATCATAATGTCAACAATGATCAGATGCCTTCCTGGCTCCAGGTTAGGAAAAGAATGATCAAAGGTCCATTGATCATGAGGGTGGGAAGAAAAGGTTTAAGGATTAAACATTGTGACAAATAAACATATAAGACTTGATTTCTGTGTTCTGTAATAGGCAAGTTTTATTTATTATTTATTTGTCAAATTTATATGGCCCATTTCTCATGAACTGATTCTAAGCCAGGGGTGTCAAACTCAATTTCATTGAAGGCCGCATCAGCATTGCGGTTGCCCTTGGGGGCCGGGTCGGTGTGGCCAGGGTGGGTGTGGCCTACTGGGTGGGTGTGGATGGAATGGGTGTGGCCTACTGGGTGTGCATGGCCAGCTCTACATCGTTCGCATCAAGGGTACCTGTGGAGGCCTGGGCAGGAGTGGGACAGATCTGAGGAGGCATGGTCCACTGGAGGAGCCTCACTGTTCCTCTCAGGCCATGCGGGGGGGCTGGATGGTGGTACGGGCTGCCCGGAGGTCTGGGCAGCAGAGGTCAAATGCCCAGCCTGGCCCTCAAGCACCTGCGGCACCAAGCCCAGCCCCACTTCCCTAAGGGGGCACCCAGCTGCACCTATCTTCTCCTCAAGGCTGCTGCTGCTGTGCTTGTTCTCCTTAGCCAGGTTGCTCATGATGGGTACGAGGGCAAAGTCAGAGGGAGGCCCATTCCCTCTCCATGGGAGTAGACCCGGCTTTGTATCCAAAGCTTCCTTAGCAATAGGATGAGAGACCCCCAGAATAGGCCAGGAGGAGGGGGCAAGGGGATGGTGAAAGGGCAGCAGGGCAGGACTAAGGCAGGAGTTCCCTCAGACCCTCCCTCTCCTTCTTTCCTTCTTTCCTTCCATCCTAAGTACAGAGTGGTGGGAAAATATTTGAGATGAGGGAGGGAGAAAAACAAGCAAGAAACGCAGCTGGGGAGGTGTCACCCTTCGTGAGGAATGGAGAAAGTAGCCAGCACATGGCCCTAACCTACTTCACATATCTGGCTTGGTGGGCTCTGGAAGAGGGGATGCCCTGAGCAGCATGAGAGTCAACATTACCTGCGCAACGCCGCCCAGCCCCCAGCCTGCCCGGTCTCGGCAGGCAGCGGGGCGCTCTCACAGCGCCGAGAGGTTGAGACGGGCTGTGCGAAGCTTGTCAGCTTTGCACCTTGCTGCCTGCTGAAACTGGGCAGACTGGGGGCTAGACAGCATTGCACTTCTCATCAGATTTGCACCACCCGGCTCAGCTCTTGGCGCTATGAAGAGAGCGCCCCGTTACCTGCCGAAACCAGGCAGGCTGGGGGCTGGGTGGCATCACGCTTCTTTTTGGATTTGTGCCGCCCGGCTCAGCCTCCTGGCGCTGTGAGAGCGCCCCACTGCCTGCCGAAACCCCTCCCTCAGAGCCCATCAAGCCGGATAGGTGAAGTAGGCGAGGGCCATTTGTTGGCCACTTCCAGGCAATGGTGCATTTCTTCATTCCTCACAAAGGGTGACACCTCCCCAGTGTGCACCTAGGGGGCAGGGCCGACGCTGTTTCCAGACGGCCTTGTGGAGCTAAGACTGAATGCGTTTCAGCATAGATGGCCACCACAAAATTGTACATTGGCTCCCGGCCGGCCTGGGCCAGGGCCAAGGCAGAGGGGGCCGTTCCCTCACTGTTTCCAGGATGGCTTCGCGGGCCACATGAAACCACTTCGCGGGCTGCATCTGGCCCCCGGGCCTTGTGTTTGACATGTCTGTTCTAGGCAGTGTATAATAAAACTAGCAGTTAAGGCATTCTATAAAACCAGTTAAAACAATGAGCATAAATAAAAGCAAGATCATAAGAAGGACACTATTATATATAATAAAGACAATGCCCAGGCTTCCTATTACCAGGAGATTTTCAGGCTTACTGATAAAACCAAGTGTTAAGGCTTTTCCAGGAGGTCACAAGAGTTTGGGAGGGATGATGTTTTAGAGGGTGGATGCCATGGCAGACAAGGCTTGTCTCCTAGGATCCATCAGCTGGAACTCCCTCATAGATGAGGCCTGCAATATGCAATTTCTCCCGGACCTGATGGGACATGTAGATGTAATTGGGAAAAGGCAGTTCCTCAGATAACCTGCCACTGTAGGGCTTTAAAGGCAAATCCAACACCTTGATGTTGACCTGGAAGCAGACTGGTAACCAGTACAGCTCATGGACCAGAGGTATAATGTGAGTCCTTCCAGGAGCACACATAACTGCCTGTGTCACCGCATTTTGCACCAGCTCAGCTTCTGGATACTCTTTAAGGGTAGCCTCATATAGGGTGAGTTACAGTAATCAATTCGGGAGATGAGCGGGTCATGAGTACAGTATGTATGATTTTCTTATGTTTGCAGTGAAGCAACTTATTTAGCATTGCCAAGTTTCTGAAACTATTGTTGTTACTCTGTTTCTGAAGGTGCTGGGGTTAGGATTTTTGAAGTCAGTTGAGTTTCTGGACTGCAGGAATTTTTAATCACGGTTGGTCTAATACAGCCCTCTGGGTTCCTATGTTAAATATAAAAAGAGGACAAAATGTTTCACCCTCTTTCTGCCAGTCTTAGCATGGAATAAAATAATTGAAAAGACTGTTTCGGTACTGCCTGCTAAATCTCACATAAACTCAGAATCTAGAGAGAACTTAGCACCAAGTCTTTGAGTGCATTTCAAATACCAAGGTGAAATATTTTTTGTGATTAAATTCAAGACTAAATAAAATGGTTAGGTACCAGTTTTATATTTCCTTTTTCATTATGACTGATTACATCTCTCTCTCTCTCTTTTTTAAAGCAGGCATGCATTCATCAACTGAGCTTTTTACCCCTGGAACCCTACCAACATCTGGAACCTTTCCATCAACCTCAGTTTATCAACATCCCAATGCTTTTAGCAGTAGAAACTTTGTTACTACTCCTTCTTTAACACTTCAGGATACAACTTTTAGTGCAACCTCAAATGGGCTTCTAACTGCTCATGACCCTTTATTGCAGATCAAGACATCCCAAGGCACAGTCCCCCCAGGACTCACTTTTGAACGTCTGGGCAGTTATGTATTAAGTACCAGCATACCACCACAGTCTTCAACGTACCGTTCTGCTCAAGAGTCTGCACCACATCTCCTACAGCCACAGTTCAGTTTATTGCCTTCATCACTTGGTGGAGGAGCTCAGCAGACTCCACAGGTGTATAACTCAACTCTGTTTACTGGTTCTACTGCCTCCATTGAAAGAGCACTGCAGCGTGAATGTAGTGTAATTAAACACCATCAGCGGCCTTCAAACACACAGTCTGTTCAGGCACAACTGACTGGTTCACAGCATTCCTTACAGAACTATTTACCAAGTACAAATGAAACTGATTATCAGGATGCATCCCGCCAATCATCTTGTAGCCCAGCTGGCGATGCTACTCAGGTGAGCAGTAGTGGTCCACAGCAGAAATCCTCTCAGGTTTCAGTGGAACATGCTCAGTCATATGCATCAGCAGTTCCATCACCAGGTTTCCCCTCTGTTTCCACTACAAATGCAAAACAGTGTTCTACAAAGCAACCACCAAGGTCAACAAAGACACCCAAACCACAAAGTGTAGCCCCTTCTGTACAGACACAAAGTTATTCCAAAATTGCACAGAACCAGAACTCTGTAATAGCTAGTCAAGCACAAATCTATTCTACAGCACAGCTCCCAAGTCTTCTGTCAGTAAGTCAGTCACAAAATTATATTTCAACACAGTCGCAGAATGTGCCACCTGTTAGTCACGCACAAGCATTCTCAGCCATCAAGATTGAGAAATTACCATCATTCTACAAAACACTTTCGTATGCTGGGCAATCAGAAGCTGTTACTTCTGAAAGCCAGGCACTACCATACACGTCTGACCAACAGGTATTAACCTCAGTTTCAAATACCTTCTCTGGGCAAACAAGGGATCTTTCTTCAAGCAGCCAGTCTGAAAATTATTCTTCTAGTCATTCTCAGGGTATGTCAACAGTTAGCCAGCCACAGATTAGCTATTCATCTCAGTCACAGGTCTTGTCAGTTGTTAGTCCTTCAGAAACATTTTCTTCTCATATTCAAAACCTGTCAACTACAAGCCCTCCCCAGAACTATATTTCATTGCATTCTCAGGTACAAGAGTCACCCTCTCCACAATCTCAAAAGTTTTTGCCAGTTGTACAGTCAACTCCTTTTGAAGTAACACCTAATTCACCAGCATTGCAGAACAACAGATCTTCCTCAGATACAAAGTCATACATTAAAAGGAAATCTGATCCTAATTTGTATCAAACATCTAAACAAGATGATCAGTTTCCAATGCATAATTTTCAGGCACTGCAACAGCAATCATCTCTTGATTCCTCTCCTCAGAGACTTACTGATGGTGAGATTAATGCTCAGGATACAACTTACAAAGTTTCCAAAGCAGATAATCGCTACTCTCAAAGTGTAATCAGAAGTAACTCTCGTCTTGAAGATCAAATTGTTGGGTTTACTTTTCAAGGATCAAAAAAAGATGAAACAATGGTTAACCCTGTAACACAAATCAGCCATATTACCAATACAGTGAATCATGATATTAAAAAAGCAAGAAATTTACTATCAACAGCACAAGTAAATGCAGACAGTAAAGAACTTGGCCAGCAAGAGTCTCTTATGCACAAGGTACATGAAGTTAAAGTCTCAGAGCAACAAATTCATGTTAGTTCACCAACTCAGCTTCATACTCAGGCCATACGGCACAGCCATCAGCTATGCCTGCCTACTTCACAGGTACTTCTAGAATCCCCCTGTGATTTACAAATGCTTCAGCAGTCAATATTGCAATCTGGTTTAGGATACACCAAAAGTGTTCCACAAGTACAGCACCTTATGAATTCTCAGCAGTATCTTCAAGTGGATGGTCATATGATTCAAGGTAATGGGAGGCATTCTCAGGAGCAGCTTCACTCGCAACACTCTGAAATTTTGAAAGTTAACCTTTCTGAACCATCAAAGCCATTACAACATCATTTGACATCCAAAGATAATTTTGAACAGCCAAATCATGAATCTAAGAATCAATTTGTTTCCCTTAGTTCTGTATGTTTTCCAGAATCTGTACTTCTCAATGATGAAAGGAATATATTGTCTAATGTAGATGATATCTTGGCAGCCACAGCTGCAGCTTGTGGAGTAACACCATCTGAATTTGCAAAATCAACAGCCAGTGATGAAGAAATTCAGTCAATTGAAAATGGACATAGCCCTAAATCTCAGTTTCATACAATAGATGTCAGACACGTGACTCCTAGCTTCAACTCATCACCTGCAATTTCTGGAAAGCCACTTAGTGTGAATAATATTTCTTTAAATGGAGGTCATGTTACCCTAAATTTAACAGCAGTATCTGCAGAACAAACAAAAGATAAGAACCTTGACCAACAACACATTGAGATTTCTGATCAAGGTATTCCTACTAGAATTACAACAGTTGAGATTGAAAGAAGGCAGGAACAGGTTTCTAGTCAAGTTAAGCAACACTCCAGCACCAGGAGTGAATCTGAAGCTAAAAATAATGTTCATATGGATGGAACATTAAACATTAAAGATATAGGCCTTATTTCAAGTAGTAGGACTCTAAATGAAGGGATTGCAATGTCACAAACAGATTATAGCATGGCAAGTAACAATGCTGACGTTCCACTGCAACAAATATCTATGCAGCATCCAAGAAATGGAAATGGTAATACTGAAGACAAGAGCCAACTTTTACCAGAAGAGGACCCTCAAATGCAAAAAGACAGAGGACAGAATCAAATTAAAAATGTCAGTGAAGTTGTTGATAAAAATCAGAAGCAACTGAAACGAAGTGGGCAGTGCAAACGTCAAAATTCAAGAGGCATTGATGCCAGCTTTCCTTGCTCTCCGGTTCCTGAAAACTGTTATGAAACTTACCAACATCAAGAAAAAATGAGGCAGAAAATTAAAGAGGTGGAAGAAAAGCAGCCAGAAGTTAGAAAAGGATTTATTGCATCTTTTTTAGATTTCTTGAAATCTGGACCCAGACAGCAGTTTTCAGCACCTGCTATCCGTGTTCCTAATCGTGTAAGAAGACCTGTCACCCCACTTATTAGAGCACCTTGTCAGTTGCCAATCTCAAAAGCTCAGACAGCAACAGCTACTTTGCCTTTTGATGGTTCTGCTGAAAATTCAGTTAAGAACAATTATGAAGAACCTAAGATAAAGTCAGAAGCCCGGCCTTTTTTTTCTTTTGATAAAGATAATGTGGGGAACAACAAAGATCACCAAAAGAGTATATATTCTTCATTATCATCATCTGATATAAAGACAAATTCAGGTAAAGTTTACTATGCTTGTGATGAGATATATAATTTAAATTTAAATGTAGCTTTAAATAAAGATATAATTAAACCAGTCCAATAATCAATAAATCTCTCTCTTTTTTCTTTGTTACATAAATATTTTGAGAGTAATTTAGTTTTGAAGATTATTAGAAGTGCTTTTAAATGTTTAATCATAATAGTTAACAAAGTCATGTTATATAGAATTTGCATTAAAAAACTTTTATAAATTACCAAAATTGCTTGTTTAAACTGAAATCTCAATAATCTACCAAATGAGGACTTTTAAAAAACACCTCTACAAATTATTTTAGATTTGCCTATAACATAGATAATATATGCTTTTAGATGGACAGTGATTAATATTTATATGTTACGTATATGTAAGGATGTAGGTCTATACATATGTTATATATAGGATGTTTAAATGTGTGTTATGTATGTGTATACTTTGAGAGCAAGCAACTAAATTTCATTTTTAATGTGTGCCATTATGCCCACAGTAAAAAATGACAACAAAGCTTATGTATGTATCTATCTATATGGGGTTGGTTTGTTTTTTCATTTAAATATCTTCAGCACATAATTTTTCTATGACAAGATCAGATACACAGATACCTTGCTTTTATTTGAAAGGCAAGATAAATTTTAATATTTCTTTTTCTTGTGCCCTCTACTGATTTTTTTTAAATGAAAGTAGATCTATGAAATATATACAGAATTCCAGAAATCTGAGAAATCTGCCAAATTTATTTATTAATTTTTTATGCCACGTATCTCCCCTACAAGGTGACTCTGGGCGGCTATCAGTCAATCAAAGCAGCTAATATTTTGCACTCAGTGGTAATTTGTAAACTAAATTATTTGTGTTATAAATATGAAAATGAATTCAAATTCTTTAAGTGCTTGTTTTGTGCTTTAGAAATTGACAAAACAGTTTCTCAAGCCATCACTAACACTGCCGTAAAGAAGGAAGGTTCCCAAATGACTGTTACGATGGCAGATGCACAGGTGAAAACCTGTATAGCACAATTCGAAATGGAGAGTGTTGTTACAGACCAGTTAGCAAAACCGCAAGCATTGGTTGCAGTAGAAGGATATACTGAGGATGACCATGGAGACAGTGAAGGCGAAGGCATATACAGAGAGCGGGATGAATTTGTAGTGAAGATTGAAGATATAGAAGCACTAAAGGTAAACCATCTATTTTAATCTGAATAATCCGTCCTTTGTTTTTTAAATCTTATTGTTAAAATACCATAAAAAAATTATATCAGAATTTGAAAGAAATTAAATGAAAATTGTGCTAATTATTTTCATGATTTGTGGAATAATGAACTGGAGTGTCCTGTTCTTGCAAATCTGTGGCAGATAGGTTTAAAATTAAAACTATTTTGTTTTTTGCTCTTAAACATTATAATACTTCGGGGAATATTTAAATTTGGTTTGCCTTGCTATGCAATTCAAGAGTTGGAACGTTAAGTTAGGTAGTTCGAGCATGTGTTAAAAAGATGAATTTAGTCTGAAATTCACAGAATTGTCAGTATAGCTTTAATATAGTTACTGCTTGGCAAAGATATGTATTCTTTTTCTGGATATCCCAAATTCTTGAAATTGAGATATCAACAGTTATGGTACTGCATTCATAAGGTACCTAAAAGAATTATGCATCTGAAGAATAAATCTACACCTCATCTGCAGCAGTAGATTGCCAGCATGTGTTTTTAGTCAATGTTTGAGTTAGTTCTTTGGGTTGAATTGCTTTGTATCACTACTGCATTCCCAATACAAAGGAAAAAACCTTGGAAGGCCCAAAACAACTTCAGAATGCAGAACAGTAGCTAGCAGAAAGATATAACTAACTTTGTATAAACTAAGTTAAATATAAATTAATATGCAAAGGAACAAGGAGGATCAGGACTGCCTGATTTGAAATTATATTTTATATCTTCCACTTAATCTGGATGAAAGTGTAGGTTTTGCTGAGAAATAAGAGAATTTTAGAATCAGAAGGGCACAATCTGAGGTTCGGATTGTATGTTTCTTTTTATGACATAGTAAAGTTAAAGTTAATGTAAATTTTTAAGAATCATTAGTACTCTGTTGAGACTATGGAACAAATATAAACCCTGACTCTGGCCAAAAATGCCTTTAAGACTCTCAGCTCAAGAACATTTTACAGGAAGCTAATAGTAGGTAAAGAAAAACATTGATCTTATTGAGATTTGTTACAACAAGAACATGGAGGATATAGGATGAAATCAAAACAGCGATTAAGTGCAGAGGGATTTATTTTCAATAGTTTCCATATGCAAAATTAAGGAAGATTTAAGGTGGTCAACAGGGCATTTGGAATTGAGCAACAGAAGATAGAATTTCAAGTTGAACTATGTAGAAATAATGAACAGGTAATCGCTAAAATATATAAACTTTTATGAAATTTGAAATGGAAGAAGTTCAAGTGGAAGACTGATAAAATACACTAAGAACTTTGAACACATTATACTGATGGGTTAGTGGGGTAATTTGTGGTTACAAGGATTGAAATGTACACTATGTTATAATTTAAAACAGAATTTTTATAAAATGATGAACCATTGATATATGCCTCCAGAAAAAAATTATCTAGAATGTATACAAGTAGTTCAAATTTATATTGAGAATGTAGACAACACGAAAGGTCATTTTATCATGCTTTATTAAAAAAAACCAGAAAACTTTGGTTTCATATACATATAAAAATACAAAGAATTTTAAAGATAAACATTTGGCTGAAACCAGAGCTTTTCTTGTTACAATTAATGGACAGTCAATTAAAAAAGATCCATGGAAAATTATTTTTATATATATAGTAGTTACTGTTGCAAAAGTATTGTACGTGAGAAAATGGAAAAACTGAGATACCCACAATGGAGGAATGATTGCTGAAGATGACAGAACTGGCAGAGATGGCAAAATTAACCTATTTGGTTAGAAAAAAAAAATAATTACATCAATAATTATATCAATGACTGGAAACCTCTTCTTTTTTGCTGAAAAAGAGAAAAAATGAACTTGTGATTAATGAGTATGAAATTTAGAAAGGGTAGCCTAGAGAAAGAAGAAAATTGTGATGTAACCTTAGAGAGAGTAAAATATAAATATATTTATAACCACTATCAAGAAGATCAGAAGCTGCTTCTTTATCATCTTTTCTATTTCTATTTCTTATTCACCAGTTTTCTTTCTTTTCTAATATTTGTCTTGGTTTTAATCTTATCAAAAAAATTTTAATAGTGATACTCAACAATATTGATTATAACAGCACTGATCCAGCACAAATAAATACTAATATCTAATATCCCCAAATTCTCTCTCATGTAGCCAAATTTTTGCTTCTGTTGGAAAACTCACAAGACGGGAAGTGATTCATAGCTATGAAGCTACCCTGTTTCATAAGAGGAATGCCACCACTGACATAAAGCACTTTCAAAAGATCAGATTAATATTTTGCATTATTTAATTGTGCATAGTAGGGTGACTGAAAAATTTAAATCTCCATCTGCATTTTTGCTATCTGTTCGAAAACAATAAAAAAGAATATTACAGATAAGGTGTAAAGCTGGGCTTACATATAAGGAAAGCTGAAGATAGAATTCAGCTCTTTTTAATTATGACATTGCATGTCAAAAGATGCTATGAAATGTGGTAAATGATTATTTAAAATGTTCTAAATATATTATAAGATTAGCTTTATGGGAACATAATTGTTGCAATGTGTAAAAAAGCAAATATTAACAGAATTGGTGCTTTTCATTTTGGTCCCTGTAGGCTGCTTTAAAAAGAGGAGTGGAGCCTCCAGCCATCTGGAAAGTTCAAAAGGCTTTGCTGCAAAAGTTTGTACCTGAAGTACGAGATGGACAAAGAGAATTTGCAGCTACTAATAGTGTAAGTATAATCATTCAGCTTTAACAGTATTAACTAGTGAGAGGGTTACACTGTATATAACAGCAGTATAGTGGTTAAAGTGCTGGTCTGGAAACCAAGAGACAGTGAATTCTAGTCCCGTCTTAGGGCAACCTTGGAGCAGTCAGTCAGTCAGTCAGTCTCTCTCTCTCTCTCTCTCCCTCTCTCCCTCCCTCCCTCCCTCCCCCCCAATCCACAGGGTTGTTGTTGTGGAGAAAATAGGAAGAGGAAGGTGTATTAGGTATGTGTATCACCTTGAGTTACCATCTGTCGGCCGTGACCAGGGGGGCGTTTTATCAGGTTCGCCTGATTTACCAGTTGCGGCCTTTTCTGGACCGGGACGCCTTGCGCACAGTCACTCATGCTCTCGTCACCTCCCGCCTGGACTATTGTAACGCTCTTTACATGGGGCTCCCTTTGAGGAGCACCCGGAGGCTTCAACTGGTCCAGAATGCGGCCGCGCGGGCGGTGTTGGGAGGGACTCGTCGCTCCCATGTAACACCGCTGTTGCGCGAGCTGCACTGGTTGCCAGTGGCCTTCCGGGTGCGCTTTAAGGTGTTAGTTACCACCTTTAAAGCACTCCATGGCACAGGACCTGGTTATCTCCGAGACCGCCTTCTGCCACAGATTCCCTCCCATAGACCGGTACGCTCCCACAGAGTGGGTCTCCTCAGGGTGCCGTCGGCCAAGCAGTGTCGGCTGGCGACCCCCAGGGGGAGGGCCTTCTCTGTGGGTGCCCCCGCCCTCTGGAACGATCTACCCCCCGAGATCCGGATGANCTGGCCTAGGGAGGATTTTAAATCGGGTTCATTTTTTAGAAAATTTTAAACAGCACAACTTTAAAATATTTGGTCTTAATTGGTTTTATTGGGTGGGGACTGTAAATATGTTTCTGTTTTAAATATGTTGTGAGCCGCCCTGAGTCCCTGCTGGGAGAAGGGCGGGATATAAATCAAAAATAAAGTAAAGTAAAGTAAAAAGATAGGATTTTTTAAAAAAGAACCTAATAAAAAATAAAAGATGCTCTTTTCTAGTCTTGTAAAATAGTATTAACATTTTATTCTGAGAGCCAGTTTGGTGTAGTGGTTAAGGCAATCAAGCCAGAAACCATGAAACCATGAGTTCTAGTCCTACTTTAGGCATAAAGCCAGTTGAGTGACTTTGGGCCAGTCACACTCTGTCAGTCCTAGGAAGGAACAATGGCAAACCACTTCTGGGGAGAAAAAAAAACCTTGCCAGGAAAACTTCATGGACTGCTCATATAGAGTCTGAGAATTAGATATTATTGAACAGGGGAAAAAAAATCAAGATCTCTTATGGTATAATTTTAATGCCTGTTTTGTATGGTCTGCCTAGAGTTATATACTTGAGATGAGTAGCTATATAAATGGAATGAATTAATGAATTAAATTGTTTTTGTTATAATTGGATAGGATTTATTGAAAATAGAAACATTGTCTTAAAGCAGGGGTCCCCAACCCCCAGTCTGTGGACCAGTACTGGGCCGCGGCATGCCAGCAACCGGTTCACACAAACAAGCAAAGCCCCATCTGCGAGATGCAGGCGGCACACAAAACCACACACCCTCCGGTCCGTGGAAAAACCTCTCTCCGTGGAACCGGTCCCTAGTGCCCAAAAGGTTGGGGACCTTTGTCTTAAAGAATTAACAACAAAACTACTATATGAGTTACCACTAAGAAGTACTTTTTAACATGATAAAAGCAAGAAATCTTAACTACACCAGGCAATAATCATTCAGCTTGTGAAGGACTTTAGATGGTGCTTTGTACCCTCTTTCAAAGGGCACTTTGTGCCCCCATATTTTAAAAATCAAATTATTATTATTTATTTATTATTTATTATTTATTACATTTATACCCCGCCCTTCTCCTGGTGGACTCAGGGCGGCTTACAGCCAGTTTAAAAAACACAACAATCAATACAATATACAAAATTTAAAATATAGTTAAAAAGAAATATTAATATGGGCCTTTTCTTCCTTTTTTAAAAAGTTATTTAAAAACCAAATTTAAAATCCCCTTAGGCCAGTCCTGCCAG